GTGTTTTGGATGTTGCCACGCGATTTGATGGATTATTATCGCATGCTTTTAGAAACTGTTGCTGGCCATTCGAGTTTAATGATATGTGTTTGAAAATAAGTTATTTGGTCATAAGACAGCAGCATAATATTGTATTTGAAAGATCATCATGCCTAATGGGTTCGCATTTTAGTGGGATTTGAAACGCTTTGAACTGAGTGTAGTTGGTTATAGCTTAAGGGCTTTGCAGATAACAATGTTTCTTATATTGCCCGTAGAGACAGCTCAAGGCAATTGGTAATTGTTCTAGAAAACGGTGATGAAAAGTTTTTGTGCATGGCACGTAAATTTTTAAAATTTTGATGAATTGTTAAATTACCTTTTGTGTTCTGTCAAAAAACTAATATGAAATGTAGACTGAATAGAGACTAGTAGATTATTAACTGTTATTCAACAATTTTAAATTAATTTTGATATTTTTTTTAGAGTGTTCGGAAACTAACGTTTCGATATCATAACTATATCATATTTTGAGCATGCCTTCACAAGTTTATAAATAATTTTTGTTGTTGAAATTTTTACAGAATATCGTGTTAAAACATTTGATTAGTTTGAAAAATAACTGCCTATTTATATATATAAATAAACAACAACAACAATAACAATGCTGGAGTGAGATACGTAAAGATGGATTCTCGGGAATATTGCAATATGAGCTCATAACTGACAATATTTCGCACTGGATGTTTGCCAAAGTGCTAAAATGTATAGATTGCCTTCAATACATTTAAAAACAAGTAAAAAAGCTAAAGTCGGGTGTCCCGACTTTGAAATACTCTGTACATATGTATTTACAATAATTATAGAAAATAAAAAAAATTAAGAAAATAAAAAAAAAAATTGATCGATTTTACCGAACTCACGTAAAGGGTTTATAATTGCACATTTACATAGCAATTGCGTCTGTGTGAGTGTATGTATGCCTATGCGCATCTATTCGTGTCTGTGTAAGCATTTTCGCAGTCAACCAAACAGCAACATCAACAACAGCCGCGGGCAGCGCTTGAGCAGCGCTGCAGCAGCAAATATATTTATGGCTATAACTTCTCGTTAAATCGGTCTATCATAGTGAAACTTGGCATACGGACACATAATAACCAACTGGGGGTAAATTTTAGTTCGAAATTCCAAGAATTACGGGAGTTACAGAAAATCGCAATTGCGGGGGAGAGGGGGGAGGGAGGGAAATTCCAAAATATACATTTTCTGCGTATTCACATAAGGCATCTGGGACTAAAATTTGGTGTTCCTAGGTCTTATAGTCTCCGAGATATAGGCGATTATACGAATGGAAAATCGGGAAAACCCCCATAGGGGGGAAGTGGGGGGAAAATCAAAAAAATAAAACAAACTCGTATAGAATACACACATAACGCATCTTCGTGCAAAATTTTGTGTCTCTATCTCTTATAGTCTCTGAGATCCAGGTGTTCATACGGACGGACAGACGGACAGACAGACAGACAGGGCTAGATCGACTCGTCTCGTCATGCTGATCAAGAATTTATATACTTTGTGGGGTCTGCCACGCCTCCTTCTGTGTGTTCCATGTGCACTCGCACAAAACTAATATACCCTTGTACCCTTTGGGTACAGGGTAAAAATATGATATGATACATTAAATGATATGATATGGTATTCTACTTGTATGATATGAGATCATTTTGTATGAGATGATATTAGATGATCAATAATATAATTGATAACGAACGAGACTACCATCTAATAGCGCTGCGAACTAATTATAAACCTTTTCATGACATTTCATAGATTAAAATAAAATATTGAAAAATAAAAATCTAAAAAAATACGATTTTGTGTGAAAAAATGGGACCGAAAGTCTCGAGAGCTATACACGTAAATAGATCTAGTATAACATAATATTAAAGTAAATTTGACAGAGTGTAAGTCGAATTCCTATATAATAAAATTTCAAAAACAGATTTGGTTCAGAGCTTATATTCGACATATTCAATTTTGTTGTTACTCAAATTTAATCATCAGGATAGTATATCCGATTTAAGAACGAGAATAGGTATATAAATCTTGTTAAGAAACTTCTCAAATATCATTGGATCCATCTTTGTTCCATTTTAAATCGATTATATTTGCCTTCTGTTTGAAAAATCAATAAACTTGTAAAGCTATTATGGCAAAATCTAAATACCTTACTTAACGGAATATAAAAGCTAAATGTGATGGACAGCAAGTGTGGGTGTTTATGCATGTTTATGTGAGTGTGTATGTGTGGCAGAAAAACCCAACGCGTGCTCAATTGACATTTATTATTTGACTTCTTCTTTCTGCTCTCGCTCCCCGACCCCCACCTACCGCGGGCCAACACATTCAGCAATTGTATTTTCGTAATTATTTTATTGCCTCGGTTTCGTCCATTATTTGTTGTTGTTGTTGTTATTGTCTTCTCTATGTGTGTGGGTGCAGCACAAAACAATCGAGCAACTTGCACAAGTAATATGCCATAAAAAATAAATATAAAACAAATACAATAGCGACAGCAACAACAATTTAGCAACCATTGCCAGCCAATGTGCACTGTGCATTGAAATTGTTGGTAATTAGAGAATGTTCGTTCACTGGCTGGGCTCAAGCTTCTAGGAATTTTAATGAACACCGCAAAACTATTTGTTTCACATAAACACAATTACTTCACACAACGGCGACAAAAATAAGAAAGACAATCAACAATAAAAAGTTACTATTAGTAGCGGCAATCGGCGCAGTCACCGATGTCGCCTGGAATATATATTCACCAGGCTACTTATACTCGTATGTACATTCATTTTCAGATATGCACGTTGATTGTTTTTTAATTTATATCGTTTGTACAAATTTGGTTTATGTTTATACAGATTTCTTCACTGTTCTTTTTATATTAGTTTTATTATGCACATGGTGCGTGCTTTGTTTTACCAAAGACATTAGCTTTAATTCCACACCGAGATGTTTTGCCTTAAATGGTATACGTTGGCGGGGCACCTATGGCGAGGCGCGAGTTCTTTTTTAATGATTGTAAATACACTGACAGAAATGGGGTTCAGATGTTGCAAGGCGTGAAACCACTCCATAACGGCACAAGGCATTTCTTCTTCCACAGCTTGTAAAGCAGGCACATATTAATACGTTAAAAAAAAAACTTTTTAGTTATTGAGTACAATTCTTCCGCTGTTTATTCAAATAATCTACATAATAGTTTCTAGTATATTTATTTTATATATGATATTTTATATATAAAAACGTTGGTGAATAAACACGTATTTAAAGACATAACGTCCTCACAATTTTTATAATGTATACATTTGCTTGTATGTATGCGTGAGACTTTCATAGTATTTCCATCAGTAGCTTGAATTGTTAGGCAGAGCCTCTGCTGGTTTCTATAGTAAAGTGCATTTTGTAATTTGCTCGCTGCACGCACATTCAAATGTAAATTCGGTGAGAGAGCAAACAACTGAGAGAGATGGAGAGAGAGAGAGAGCAATAGTGTAATGCAATGTGTTGCAGCGAGAGTTGTTGCTAATTACAATGCTAACGACACCAGCGGCAGCAGCAGCAGCAGAAGCAGTAACAACAACAGCCCTATGAAATGCGTGCATACACATATGCACACACAAGCAGACACTCGCATTAAGTGAGCACGGACGGGGTCGGGGTCGTTGCACAGTGGTGCGTGGGCGCGGCAAGGCAGGACAGTGGGACAGAGCTTTAGTGGCTGTTGCTGATTGCAGGAAATGCATTTGCCATGGCCTTTTTATATTTATACATTTGAATACATAGTATATGTATTTGTATGTGTATTGTTGCTGTTTTTGTGTAGTAGCATCTTTTGTGTCGGCCGTTTGCTGCTTTGTTTTGTGTGCCTACATTTGTTGTGCTAATTAATTACGAATTTATTCTAATTTATGTGCTCAATGATATGTAGATTTCCAGCGACATGAGATAGAAGCAAGTACAGTGAAACTTCTTAAAAAATCTATTTAATTAGGACAAAGTACATTTTATTAAAAATCATAAAATAAATTGCCGATTTGCAATTAAAATGTTTCATAAAATTTACGTTTCAGTTGCCACTCTCCGAAGGATGTCAGACGTTTATAATAAACATAAACAATATAAATACAAAGTACAATATGTACGCTTTCATTGTTTTAGTTGTTTTTGTTTGCGCTCTTTTCATTCTTAGGTTTTGGGTTTTAATGTAGAATTATTGTCACTATTATGTGTAAATTGAACAAAACGAGAATACTTGTAGTGTTGTCAGTGAACTATTGTTTTGTCGTCTAATTTGTATGTAAATGAAGGAGAAAATGCAATTGTAAAATGAAATAATGGTGAAACAAGTAAAACGTTACAGTCTTACATACTCTTTATGATATAGTGCACTGATTTCTATGAAACTTTAGATAATGGTGAGACAATTATAAAAAAAACTTACATATAAACACCAACAATAGATCTTAATAAACAAAAATGTTTTAATGTGCTGATACTTTAGTTTTTACTTTTGAGTGTATCCCTTCACCCTTCTAATACATATGCACACTAGAGTTGGTCTTCTGGCAAAAATCAACAAACGAAAAACAAGAAATTGCCTGACCAATAGCAACAAAATGAAGTGCTATGGTCACCCCAATTGAATGCACGACCATTGCCAGCGCAAGAGAGCGAGAGCGCGAGAGAACAACGAGACAGTTTGAGGGAGCGCTGAACGAATACGTTTTGTTGTTGCCGTGCTGGGAAATGAATGAAGATGTGTAGTAATGCGAAAAGAGCAAGTGTAAGTTCTTGTTTGTATGCATGTAGGAATATTTTTGCACAGCCGAAAAAAGAAGGAAAACAGTAGAAAACGCACATACAAGATTTTTCCAATTGGCAAAACAAGCGAGGAAATAATTGTATATCTGTATGTATGTATGTGTGAGTGGCTATATGAGTGAGCTTACCGTTTTGCTTATTGACGTAGGCGTCTTCGGCTGCTGCTTGCGTTTCAAGTTTTGTTGTGTGTATGTATATGTGTGTGTGTTTATGTCACTGCCGTTGTTATTTTTGCCCGGGGACTGCGGCTGCTTGTGTTTTTCTTCCTTTATTTTGTTTTTGTTATGCAAAAGGCATAGAATTTTCTTCACTCACTTTTGTTTTTTTTTGTTTTCTCTTTTTTGCAACAAACAGAAACACTTGAAAAATTTATGTATTTACACAAATACACACAAACACATGTACACGTACTTAAAGAGAATGTGTGGGTGTGCAATTATATTTTATTTTGTATTTTACTTTTTACTTGGCAAACGACGTGCGACTGCGATGTGAGTGTGTGTTTATCTACACGCCACTTTACCGTGAAAAATTTTCATTGAGGAAAATTGAAATGAGCGAGCTCACAGTGTCTGTGTGTATGTGTATCTGTTTGTGTTGGTGTGCGCTCCCCAACAGTGTTGCCAACTCAGCAGCGTTGCAGATTGTGACTGTCACGGGCAGAACGCATTGTTTAATGGCCCACTAAATATGCCCAATACAATAATTCGTAATAATAATAAATAAATATTACTAAGCGCTGTCGATGTGCAAGAATACTGTTGTTATTTTGCTTTCACGACAGCCAATGTTGGCAACACTGCGCGCGCGCCCCAACAACTCACAAAAAATAACCAAACCAAACCACGCCAGACCAGGCGGCGTTGACGCTGACGTCAACGTCGGCAGCGCGGCGCGTGTGTCGTTCCTGATGTTTTTTTTTTATATTTTTGGCTCTCACACGCGCAATTCGATTTTCTTTTGTTATTGTTTCTTGTGTGTTACCTTTTATTAATTCAATACTTTAAACAATTTAAACTAATGTGGAATGCTTTGAATTTATCTGGCGAAATTGCTTGCTTATAGCTCCATTATATACACATTGACATTTTTTCATAGCCACATTTTTTCACTACGGTTTTTTTTATACTACACTCCGCACTTATATATATCTGTATGAGTACGCTTGTATTTGTTAAGTTTAAAAAGTGCACGTGTAGTTTTGTATTTTTACTTCCTAGAGTGTGCAGTTATTCTTGTTGTTAGCACTTGTGCGTTTGTCATTTTTTTTTGCGTGAGAGAGATTGAGGCACCTACACGCTAGCACGACGATCCGCGACACAACCTTCCACTGCGACAGAACAAACTCGTTTCAATCTTAATTTTGTATCGGTGCGTTATCGTACCGACAACATGATATATCGGTATGCAAGCAATCGATATTTTCAATTCAGTCAGCTGTTTTGGTGAATACTAGAGATGGACGCAAACTATATCACACTGTTCAAGTGAGTTGAATTTTTCAAAATAGTAAGGTTTCTTTGTATTTCGTTATTAAATCTGTATATTACATAGATTTTTAAGAATTCTATATTTTGTTCACATTTATATATATATATATATATATATATATATATATATATAAAGCAATTGCAATCACATAATATGTTGTGTTAAGTGGGTTATAGCTTTGTATGGTAACTTGGTTAATTTTAGCCTTGCTTAGTTTGTTGCATAATTAGTTCAATATGTTTCACATTTTTAGCTTGTTTAGCTCTATTCCTAGCATTTAATTAAATTGTATGTGACCGATATTGCATGATTTATTTGAAACTATGACGTCTGCCCATCCGCAATTTATACTCACCCTGTCCACCAATTAGAGTTGCCAACCGCTGAAATCTCAGAGTTGGCAGCACTGTAATTACTATTGCCATGCCGGTTGTGGTGAATTTCGAACCTTAGCGCGAAAATGAATTTAAAGGCATTTAAAGATTCATACAAGAGAGAACGCTACAGTCGAGCAAGCCCGACAGTGTAATACCCTGTACCCAGGTAAACTTCCGTCACTGAGTTATATGCGCCCATAGCAGCAACAAAAAGAGGAAGAAGAAGAGCGAACTTTTTGCTGCAGTTTGTGGGGGTTGTACTGGCGAGAATTTGTTTTGCTAATAACTTTTCTTAGAATTGACCGAATTGAATTTTGAACAACAGTAGACAATTATATATAAATTATGTGTGCAAAGTTTGGTTTAGGTAGCATTTGAAATGTGGACGCTATTGACGAAATTCTGTAGCGGGGGAAGGGGGGGAAAATTAAAAAAAAAAAAATAAACTCGTCCTTACTCGGACCTAGGAGAATCTGGATGCCAACTTTGGTTATTGTAGCTTTTATAGTTTCTGAGATCCTCGCGTTCATCCAGACGGACGGACAGACGGACAGACGGACGGACATGTCTAGATCGATTTCTCTCGTCATGCTGATCAAGAATATATATACTTTATGGGGTCGGAGATGCTTCCTTCTGTATGTTACATACTTTGCACAAACCTAATATACCCTGTTTACCCTACGGGTACAGGGTATAATAACCGTGAACATGAGTGGACTTTTGTTAATGCTTTATTGCTATTTCGTAAAAACAAAACTGTGAGATGTCAATAACAAGTTTGTAATACATAATAGGCAGATAATTAATAAAGAAAAAAAATTTATTTACATTTAAAAGTTATTTGGGATCTATGTATATGAATGTATTTATATATGCATGCATAAACAAGTTTATAACAGTGATTTTGTATAGCTTGTATAGGTTAAGATTAGATATTCCTTGAAAAATATTGTCACATTGTGTTTATTATTTGTTTCTTCCTTTTAAAGCCTGTACCCAAAGGGTAAAAGCCTACAAGTATATTAGCTTTGGGCGCATGTATGTAACACACAGAAGGGTAAATAGTATATCTATATCTAAGTATATCTATAATATAAAAATGGAACGCAGAATGTGTTGCTAAGCGTAAGCCTCGAGAGCAGCTAAACCGATTTCACTAATTCTTTTTTATAATATTCCTTGAAGTACAAGAATGGTTCTGACAGAGAGAATAATTTAAAAAATTGCCTGAAAGAGTCAATGCCAAGCCAATAATGTTACCAAAGGTGTAAAAAAATGACGTTAAAAATTCCTGAAAGCAAAAAATATGTATGTATACAAAATTATAAAAAAAATGCTGTGTGTTTGTGGCTTCCTAAATATGCCTCCTAAAAACCGGCGGAGAAATTTAGGCAGAAGAACCAGAAATGCAATGAATCAAATTAACCCCCCTATAAAAAATTTTTCCATATAAAGTCGACCACACGTTCATTATTATGACGCACTATTTCGCCCTGAAATGGAACTGAGCTGGATTTGTTGAAGTTTTTCTATGGATCATATGCATAAATTAATTTTTAAATGCATCGTGCATTACTTAATCAAACTTTTAATTTTCTGTACGTTTTGAAATATAGTAAATACTAAATAAACACTGAATAAAAGAAGCGGATTATGGATCCTGAGTAGCTAGAGTTATTCTTAAAATTTCTACAATTTCTGGATTCTAAATAATTAAAAATTTAGCACTTTACTTTAATTTTTCTTCTTAAAACATTTGTGTTTAAATACTCTTGACATCTTCCATTTCTTAAATATGTTTTTCTTGACATCATATTTGTTTTAAATGTTTTTCTATGTCCATTTAAAAAGTTGTAAGCAAAACTGCATGAATTGTTTCAATATTCTACGCCCTAAGTTTAATATTTCTTTAGTTGTGTAATCAACTATTTAAAAACAAAATTGGGACCTGAAAAGTTAAATTTATTCCCCAAGTGCCGCCTTTTAATCGCTATGCTGGCCATTTGTTCGTTATCAGTGTATTTGATTCCGATACTAAAAATGTAGTTTTGGGAGGTTTATACTCTATACTTGAAGCATAAACACGAGCTGCTGTGCATAGGTATTATGTTTGTAACACTAACAAGAGAGAATGCTACAGGCGAGCAAGCCCGACAGTGAAATACCCTGAACTCAAACAAAGCCAGAGAGAATAACGTAATTTAAGAGTTTATATTTATTCTACAAGGGGCAGGGAACGTTTGTCAGCAGTATCTTAAGATATTATTAAGATATTTATTTTATTTATGTCAACAAACATTGACTGTGGACACAGGAGGAAAATATACAAGTATTTACAAAATATAAAAAGCCTAAGAAGGAGAAAACTAATCTAATCTAATCTAATCTAATCCTAATCTTTGACGCTTTTTCTGTTACGTATTTGATTTGTTCCCAGAATGTCAGTCTCGGGTCGAACCGGATACCTGTTTAAAGCATTACTTGATGGAGAAAGGTCTCTTTCCCCCTAATTACTATAACTACCATAACTATAATGAAATTTTATAAAAGAGTATTACTTCATCGAGCAGTAGAACTATAGTGTGGTAAAGCCTATATATATACTCGTAATGTACTTACTTTACTTACATTGCGTAAGAGAATACCAACACATGCATATATATTTGAGTGGACCGAGAGAAATCTATTGCTCCCTAGGGATACGATCGCTAGCTTGTTCCAACCACCAACTGGACTCCACTTGGCGCACAAGTCTTTAGTTTAATTTTAGCTGGCATGGCCACAAGATGCAAAAAATATTATTTCTAATTTATACCTTCTTGGCAAGCACAACATTTGCAACTACGGAAACGATAATCAGACACAATTACTGCGATGACTACTTAAAAATGTTTAAAAACAGTTCGTGCAAGCTGGATTTTAATGATGGGAGAGAAAAATTAGAAACGGAGAGTTTTGAAATAAAAATTTATGATGAAACCATGCACTTGAATTGTTTGAATCAAAGCACAGAAAAAATTAATTTGTTAATGCTCTCGAACAATGTGATCAATGAAGAAATAGACTCTTTGAAAATAAAGTGTGAATCCATACATTGGCCGGTCGCTCGATATTTGGAATATCTTGGTTTAACCGCCAATATCGCTGATTTTGCATTGACCTTTAAATTAAGAAGCATGGATTTTGTCATAAAAAAAATGAATAAAGAACGAAAAAAACTATATGTTCAGATTTCTGGGATAAATAAAGAAATTGATGTGGAAAGTCTTTCCAAAAAGGTGCTCACAAACTACACTGATATTCAAAATATTGTTTTATACACAAAAGATATTCGGATGTTTCCCAACACATTTTTTACGCGTCATTTTCGAAACGTTCGCAGTATTGATTGGAATTCTGAAGGCTGTTTTTTAACAATTGATGATCTGGTTGGTTTAAAACAATTGCGTTCTCTTAACTACCTTCTGGTAACTACCGAGATTAGCGAAGAATGTAAAAAACTGATGTTTAATAAAAATATGCCTCAACTGCGAAGCTTAGTAATCAGATTTTATGCTAGACTTATACAATATAAAGTTTGCGATGTGGACCGAGACTTCTTGATTGGGGTACCAGGCTTGGAAATGTTTGAGTTTGATGGCATGCAAAATGCATCGTTTTCCAGCACTATTTTCAGAGTCCATCACAATCTGACTTACTTGATTTTGTTTAACATAGACAATCTTACTCATGAACATTTTAGATATTTGAAAAATTTGAAATATCTGGAATTAAAGGATGTTAGTTCTTTGGATTTAATATTAAGGTATTTATGAATTTAACACAGTTTCGAAAATAATATATGTATGAGTATGTTTCAGGAGTCGAACTCTACAAAATAATTTGGGAGAAATCATTTTGACAACAAACAGTGAGCAGATTCGGAACGTTCCGCAATTTGAAAAATATTACAGTTACATTCCATAAACCCTGTTCATTTTGCCGCGACAGATTTGGGTGTAAGCTAACATTGAAAACTGATCCTGCAATTTGTAAAGAGTCCTGCAAGTGCTGGGTTAAAGGGAACGATTTGAAAATGTTGATCGATTGTAGCTACAGAAATCTGTCATATCTGAGAATGGAAGATTTACCAAATAATACTGTTTATCTGGATATAAGCCACAATCAGTTAAGGAAATTGGACATCGAACACCTACCCCCCTACTTGTTTCATTTGGATATCTCCAACAACTACTTAAGAGCACTCGACATTAATAAATTACCATTACGACTGGAGCATCTGAACTTAAGAAACAATTACTTGGAAAGTATCAACATCGTTCAAGAAAGCCGATTGGAGCAATTGAAATACTTCGATCTCGCTGACAATAAGCTTCAAACATTAAGTGAAGGAACGCAAGATTTTTTATTAACACATTCCACAACACAAATAAACTTATCAAACAACGCGTGGGACTGTGATTGTAATGCGAAAAAATTCTTGAACTTCATGCAAGCTCTTTCGCATACATTAGACTTAAGTCAAGTATATTGTGGTAACCGAGATCTGGGGCCCTTAATCGATGTCAATGTGGACGATATTTGCTTGACCGGTTCGAAAATTACGAATATAGTCCTCGGACCTCTTTTCTTTGTAGCCACCCTAGCAGCTTTCGCAACTTACTACAAGCAGAGTATCTTTTTCTGGATGTACCAACACAATTTATTCCATGGCCTTCTACGTCAGCACAAGAAATTCGACTCAGAGAAGAAGTTCGATGCATTTCTGGCCTACTCCAGCGCCGACTCAAAACTCATCCCCGAATTCGTGGAAAGGCTGGAGAAGGGATCCCCAAAGCTGCGTCTCTGCTTCTACGAGCGCAACTGGCCTGTGGGTGAAGTGATTTCTGACCTCATTCTGCATTCAGTGGAGAGCTCCAAACGAACTATCATCCTGATGACTAGCAATTTTTTAAAATCGGACTGGGCCCGCTTTGAACTAATAACGGCGATTAAAGCAACCTCCAAAGATAAAACTCTGCGCCTCATTATAATTATGTATCCGGATGTAAAAAGCACCAAGCAGCTCGGTAGAAAGATCAACGATTACCTCATATTTACGACCTATTTGAAACGCAACGATCCCAATTTTTGGAATAAGCTGATTTATGCGATGCCCCACGACACAACCGAGCCCGAAGAAGGCGCAGATGAATTCGAGTTAATGCGCCTGCCAACATAAAACATACAGTTTTACAGCCTCGGATAAAACTTACGATATTTGAAGATTCTTTGAAATATATATTTTAGTAATATTTGATATTTTGGGATTCTTTTGAATATATCTTTAAGTAATATTTGTTTCATCAATTATAAACAAATTAAATAAGTTAAGAATGTATTTCGTTTGTTAATCAATATTTGTTCTAATTCACTGTGCACTTCTTCCATAAAAAATATATGTAATTGAATTTGTTCTTAATTTGTGTTCACTTAGAAAAATTGCATTTCTTTATTTATTTGCTGTAGTTGTCAGAAAAGAAGAACCTTTTCCACTATATGTATATGTCTATGTTCGACACATGCCCACTTCCTTCAGACGGTACTTATACAATGCATATAAGTATTTTGTTCCTGCGTTCTGGTTTCCCTCTTGAATGTCTGGGTTTTGGGTGAAATAATGCCGAAAAGGGCACACAATTCCCATACTTGTATAATAAAACAAAAAGTGCGAGCATGCATCAAATTTACGCGAAACTTTAGAAATATGAAACCGCTTATGGGTAGAGCTGCGCAGCTGATGCGACGGCCAGTGTTGGGCAACGTGTCTGGTTATTGTGTACAGCATCTAGGACATAAATTACGCATACGTCATGTAAGCCGTGGGAAAATACATGTTCAGCTTTAACACCATTTGTTGCCGCTGCTGCTGTTGTTGTTGCATGGGTTGTTGTTGTGCCGTAACTTTTGACTTTTATGCGAGTCGAAAGTCAAAGTGAAAAATCGCACGCACAACCCATGCGAACCCATCAAGATTTACACTTAATGTTTAATGAGCCGCAAAGCAAAAACGAGAATTACCCCGAAAAAAATGTACTGAATAGGGGTTGCAGTTAAAATGTCATAAAAGCACTCCAGAAGTTGTGCGTGGGTTGCTGAAGTGTATGTGTGTGTGTGTGGGTAACAGGTATTTAAAATAATAATCATAATTTGCCACACCTGTCGTCAAGGCTTCTTTTTTTCTTTTCTTAATGTGCAACACGTTAAAATGTTTGTTGTTAGCATTCATTTTGCATAATTTTCATAAAAAGTAATTTGTAAAATGTTCAGCAATAAAACATTAAAAAAATGCCAACCGGTACACTCGAGCAAACACATATTTCGCATTTAGTTTTGTCATTAAAGCAGCGTTAAAAACTAATATGCATTTGGATAAGCCCAGCAGCATACATGAGAGTCCCTTAACTGCCACCCTGCTCTGCAAGCTACCCCGATTAAATGGATTAAGGGGGTTTTATGAGACAGTGTACTGCGCCTGACTGTCAAACACTCTCTACGGACACACTGATCAAGATTATTACATTAAAATGAATTTATTTATCCGAACAATTTGGTGAAAAATAACTAAAAGGAACTCAATATGGTTGCAAGTCTATACAGTTTTATACTATATAGACAGATTAATTGCTAGATAACCTACCTAAAAATGATCAGTATTTCTGTGCTTATTTCTGTGTGATTAATGATTTGCTGCGAGTTCTACGCAAGACAAGCGAAACATGAGCATGAACACTTGAGACGAGAAAGCTCGACAGTGAAATAACCTCTACTTGTATCCAAAAAAGACAGAGGCAAAAATAAGAGGAAGAAGAGCGAGCCCCCTTCACCTGTAGTACTGCAATGAAATTGTCTCGCTAAGTACTTTTCTTACAATCAACCGATTTGGATGAAATTTAAAACGAAAGTAGAGTTGGTCAATGTATGCTCAGTCGTATCCGAACTCTAAGGGTTCATCCATACGGACGGACAGATCGATTTCGATTTACTTCATCTGGTCGTAGAAGCTTCCTTCTGCCATGTCCACTTTTTTTCTACGGATGCAGGGTATAAAATTGAACGCTTTAAATATTTACGGAGAGATCGACATTACATACAAATATTTGAAAATTTGAGATAATTTTCATTCTTCTGATAATTATGAGTTTTATGAGCTTCTCACGAATCGCTAATTTCATAGCACATAAGACTGTTCATAATCATTATACACGAGTATGTATTTGCAATTTTAATGACTGGAGTTTTTACGACAGCATCGCTGATCTGAGTCTTAAGAAGCGGCGGTTATTAAATGAAAATTTTATGCGCCCAATAAAATAAATACTTTTGTGCAGACACGATGAAGCAACAAAGTGAAAAGTTGCTGGAGTTCAAGTCAAGCTCTCGATTCAAGGTTGTGGGCCTTAATTTTATTACATATTCAGTTTGGCATCACTTTGGCATTTTTTCGTATGCATTTTTTTAGAACTTGCTGGTGTTTCTGTTTGTGCCTTTATGGAGGTTTAGGGGCATGCTAGGTTGATTGTTTAGCAAAAACTATTCCAATTAACTTGCCCGAAAAGAAATTATAAAACGAAAAAAAAAAAAAATGAAATAGCAGCCAAAAAGAAGCGGAGCAATGCCCGCTGGCCATTTTGTTGCTGTTTACCCATCAGTTCTGGGAACTGGGGCGGAATTACAGATTTTCTACATTCTCCATATTGATTGTAGAAATTTTAAACTGAAATGAATCGCTGATCTAACTAATGGGGCACTAGAGCCTTTATCGCCAATTATGAGCTTGTATTAGTGTATTAGCTGGGAGATTCTAAAGCAAAAGCCCGCTAAAGTACGTTGACAAGCGATGGTTGGAATCCGAGCTTAGTCTTTTCGAGGACTCCAAACGCATAAGCAACGCTAAGGTACTAGAAAATGGAATATTAACTTAGCTATAAAAGGATAATTAAATTGCTTGAAACAACGCTTAATGAATCCAAGTAGAGCCTTGCTTACAATTGTGGAGATGCGAAGCTTATGTTTGATTTGGAATCAAAAATTTCCTCAATTCTCTCTCTCTCTCTCGCTTTAACTATCAATATGTGGAAATGATTCGAATCAATTGTAGTATAAGCATAAACGACCATCACACTTCACTTATAATTTAACACTACATTTATGGTTTGAATACACAAATTTCTAGTTTCCCGTTTCCCGATCGCTTCGAACAAATTTCCCAGAATGGTTGAGGACCTTTTGAAAAGAAACCATTTCTCTCCTACTGCATGGCATTTAAATAGTAACTAGTTTCAAAGAGCTAGTGAGGTTAACGGTTCAAGGGCCACAGTTTAGAACTGCTGGCTAACCATCCTGCCTGTCCGACACTGCTCTCTGTTTGCTTTACGGGAAAGAGATGGAACTCGTTTTACTGTAACTTGTTTGTAATTTTTCGTTGGCTTTTATTTTTATTTTGTTTTCTTTGCCAAAGCGAAAGTTTTTGCGCAAATTTCATTATTTTAAATATGTGTGCGTGTCTGTACATATGTATGTGTGAGTGTGAGTGTTTGGCTTTGGCACACACATGCACACAATGTTGTGTCGCTTGCAGGCATAATTAATTTAAAATTAAACACATTTGAAAAATGCTCAGCAATTTAATGTGAAGTGACGTGAGGAGCTTTGTTGCACAAAATTGTTGTTGTTGTTTTCTTGTTGCTGCTGTTTTAATTGTAACAAGTTTTGTTATCGTTAAGGATTTTAAATAATAATACTACGTTTAATTTTCTTCTTTATATACTATATACTCGAATCTTTAAAATTTTTTAACATTTTAAATGAAACGGATTTATAAAATTATAGTACATGCTTTTGTTGTAGAATTTGTAAGAAGGATTTTAGAAAACGCAAACCAGTCTTGAGTTTGTTGTTGTTTTATTTATTTTTTTCGTAAAAGCTAAAAATTGTTGTTAACATTTTTTTAAATTGACGATAAGATTCTCTTTCCACCTACCGGATTATTTTCAGTATATACAGCGATACAGAAGGCCTTGAAATACCTTTCCTAGATAGCAGGTTGATGCTAAGCGGCGCTTAAGGCATTACATTCCAATACTGACAATTCTGGAATTATCACCACCAGTGATTTTTGAACGGCTTCCACGTTCTGCCTTTAACATCTTGCTTTTATGTGCGGCTGACAACTGACTTTAAACGAAGTGAGTACCGAGTCCTGCCGCCGATGCTGGTTTTGGGTGCTCCGCCCATCTCGCCCATATCTTCCCATCTTACATGTATTTTTAAAAACAGGGGGTAGTCTGGTATCCAGCGTTAGAGACAAATGAAAACCTCAAGCACCATTACCTCTGCTCTGAAAAGTTAGTAACTAAACTTCTTAGTTCATTTCAAATACATTCGATGTTTCCAACCTGAAATGGAAGTAATGTAGTAAAAAAAAAATACATTTTTATGCAATTAATAATTTAATTTTTTATTGTAGTTAGTTTGTTTCTTCCTTTTATTTTTTATAATTATAACTTAATCTTATTATTTTGTATTTAAACTAGATGATTATAAACGTTCTCCTAAATACTTCTTTTCATGTGTGTTTTCTTTTTGTGCCTTTATGATTTATATGCTTTAACAAATGGAAAACAATATTAAAAATACAAAATCATTCTCAAAAGTGTGGATTCATTAGGAGTTAGGTTGTTGGCAATCTTTACTAACGCTACTATTTGATTTTCTTTTCCTTTCAATGTGTGTAGTTGCGGCAGTTAAGTAGCTTGTAACAAAGTTTATAAAACATATGAAAACCATACGAGACGAATATTTGTGCAACAATCAAATAAATAGAAAATTTGAGAGTTTTGATTTCAGAAACATATTGTTTTTCGAGTTATATATTGCAGCTATTTGTAGACGTTGAGTCCAAAGAGAGTGCGGGATATGTTTAAAACTGCGAAATGAAAAGCTTTAGGGTTTTCTCTTTCTTTTATATTTGAATTCAAGGGCGTAGGCAGGGGGGCCGTTCCCACCCCTAGAAAAAATTTTGCCATATAAAGTCGACCACACCTTCATTATTATGACGTACTATTTCGCCTTAAAATGGATCTGAGTTGGATTTGTTGAAGTTTTTTCATTGATCATATGCATAAGATATTTTTTAAATGAATCGCGCATTTTTTGATAAAAATATTAATTTTTTTCCCC